CTGAAGCCGAAAATGTGCCTGACGCCGAAATTCGGCGCTCGAATTCGCTGAAGCTTAAATTCGGTCTGCCCCCAGGCTGAAGCCGAAAATGTGCCTGACGCCGAAATTCGGCGCTCGAATTCGCTGAAGCTTACATTCGGTGCCGAGCTCCAAACCCTGAGATCAAAGAGCGCCCCTGATTTTGAAATCAAAACTCTTATCACCCGGAACTCAGAGGATAGAGATACACTAAAGGCGTTTACCCTAGCTCTCAAAAAACAAAAGACGCATCAATCAGTAAAGTATCCCCCCTTATGCTGCGTAAGGAAGGTGTGGTACTGGTCGGTACAGAAAGCTAGCTATACATGGTTTGGAAAATCAGCGGATTGTATGGACAAAATATCCCCCGGCTCGCTCACTGCTCAGTTCTGGCTTGGTGTTGTCCTCGGTCTTCTCGACGTCTTGCCATGTGTGCTTGAACTTGTTGCACAGCTTGCCATTGTCTGTTGGGCTCAAGCTGCACTTGTTCCCCCTGCGTACTCTGCCTCCTTGGTGCCTCGCTGGGCTCGCTGGGGCGCTGGGCAAGACTGCCGGCGCTATCCCCTCTGTCCGAAGGTCGGCCTTTTCTCCCCCAAGGCCACGTGAAGGAGGTGTCGGCTTCATCGGCTGGGTCCGCAGGCTCCAGGCTCCCCCTTTCGGCGTCCATGGTGTCATCCCCCCAGTCTGGGATGCTCGTTTCGTCTTCACTGTGCTCCTTTGTCACATGCTGCTTTGCCTTGGGCAGCTCGCGGGTCTTCTTGTCACTGTAGTCTGTCAGTTCGCCCGGGACACCATCACTTCAAAGTTCGTGACTTGGGTCAAGAACGACCAGATGGCAAAGATCACACTACAAATATAACAATGGCAGGACAGGCGGGGAAAATATGCAAGCTGTGCTGCTACGCCGAAGGGATGTGCCAAACTGGTTCCAGAAAAAGCCATGAATGCTCCGACCCTCAATGCAGGCTACACGGGGTAGTTGGACGAGCTTCGGGAGCGGCATCAATCCAGACACGACAGGTCAACACCCGGACGGGGGGCGATGCAGCCAAAACAACCTCTACTACAAGGCCCTGCCCTGAGAAAGTCATGTTCCGGACGAGGAGGGGGCTACACCTCCAATTCGACCCAGAGCCGAACCTGGACCAGTGGACAAATACAGATACAGAGGTGCAGTATGATCCACTGACGGGGAGGCACTGACGGGGAGGTACAAAGAGATAACTACGGGGGAAGTGCTCAGCGCGGCCCGAAGAAAGACCTACGATAGATACCGATGCAGACACGCAGCCCGCTGTCGCACACGGGATACAGCAGACAAACTCACCCGCATCGTCGACAAGTACCTCCCAATGGTCGCCGACGAAAGCGGAATCTTCTTGATGCGCTTTCCCGAGAAGATACCGAAGCTGCTGAAACAAACCCGCAAGATACGAAGAAGGATCAAAGCCAAGGAGCGGGGGAATGCGAAAAGGTACCAGTGCAACCTCCACGGCGGGGGACGACTCAAGAACAGACGTCAAGTAGCACTGCCAGCCCGACCTTGGAGCCAACACACAGCAAGCGACTTCGTGCAGCACGGGGGAGCCAGAGCCACGACCCGACATACTGGGTCTCCCTGGTCACCGTGGCTATCAAGGCAGGATGGCGAAGAAGTGTTCTCCCTCCCCCTATGAAATGTCTATGTAGAAGACGTTGCACTCACTCGGTCCGCCGCAATGGTGTAGTTCAGCACAGTTGCCCTCCGCGAGTATGGCACAATGTCCCTAGCGGAAGCGTTGGGCCTCTTAAGCAGTATGGCGTCGGCTATATTGGCTCAAGCACCGCTGGAGAGAAACGGACAGGCTTTTTTCCAGGGCAAGCCCTAGGTCAACTTCTGTCTTCCCCCGATGCAAGGAGGAACAGGCCTCCAAGCAAAGGTGCAGCACTTGAGCCAAGTGGCTACCTCTCTCTCTGTCTCTCTCTCTGTGCGCACACGCTTGCACTCAACATTGAAGGGTAGGTTTGGACAGACAATGCACGCACTGGCCCAGGCGCAATACAAGGCTGCATGCTCGGCTTCTTTCGATAAGCTTCGCAGTGGAGGAGCCTGAGTTTCCAGCAAAAGAATCCTGAAGTTCCACGGGTGCTTAGCCGAGCTGCAGCCACTCTGAGGAAGGCCAACCGGTCGTCCAGATCGTCGATGAGAGCACACCTTGGAGGCCCTAGGCAAGATCGCACAATGCTCAAACACACTCAAGGGGCTGAGCTGCGCACTGGCAGTTTAGAAAATCCGTCCGCTCCATCGTCAGGAACTTGCCTCGGCCAGCTTGCAGTGCATTGATATAAGGTACAGCCAAGGGCAAGATCCGGCTGAACTCATCAACTCATCGAAGTGACATGCGGTTTGGCAAACCTGAGACGTACAAAGCTGCACAACTGACGGTCAAGGCCTTGCAGAGTCGAAGCCAGGAGACAGCCGTTGCCATGCGAGTTCGGTCATCGACGATTGCCAGCTCGTCCAGCAGCCTCACCAATTCAACGCTGCAAGCATGAAGGGTACCGTCGAATACCCGTGTACCCCTCCGAGTCCTGCCAGGGCCCAGCGTGGCGAGGGCCATGCCATGTTGCTCTTCTTGAGCCGTCCCACGGCTGTCGGGGAGATCTGGCATCCCCTCCACCGCCGCCAGCAGGGCACACGTCCTGAGTTCGACGGCCGGAGCCTGGAAAATGCCCAAATGGCATCTGCCTGTGCTGGTCCGGCCAGGCAGCGCCATGGCTTCACGGGATGCTGTGCCCAAGGTCTCGTCTTCCTCCTCCTCGTCCTGGGCATGGACACCTGTACCCCGTGCCTTGTGAAGGCCGAAACGCAAGCGTCGAAAGCTACTGCAAAGCGGCAAACTAGCAATCTGGACCTGTCCTCTGCAGCATCCTCGGAAGGACCCTCTTTGGCCTGAGCGAGGCGCGGTGACGCGGGCCAGGACGGGAAAACACGCTTGGCTCCAGCCAGGTATGGGACATCTGGAGGCATCTTGCTTGAGTTTGCTCGGTTGTACTTCTCTTTCATCGACCTGCAGAACTTCTTAAGCGAGACAACTTGCAGGCCACATCCTACTACGAGACCTCGGCGACAAGTCATCCTTCCTTTGAGACTTCCAGATGGTCACCTCGCCCGACAAGATGATGTAGCACAGTCCTTTGCAAAGCATACACTGGCGCCCCAGTGGGTCGCATGCCGCTCTTACAGTACCACAGGAACTGGCAAAACAAGAGACAAAGCAAACCTGCATTGCATTCCAGTTCATGGCAACCTTTGTTAATGATGAGGCCCCTTTTTGCCAGGTGGGAGTCTATAATGCCTCTTTCGCTTGAAGATGCTTTTTTGCAACGTGTTTGTGCAAACTCTTTTTTTTTTTTCTCCGGCTGTTTTTGTTTTGGTCAATGTTTGCTTCCCTTCTGCTAACGGTCAATCTTAAGACACCCACAATTTTCCACCCTGAAGCCCGAAGCTCCAAAACCCTACAATTAGCTAGATATTGTAGACTTTAAATACCCGGAAAGGAACCGAACCCAACCACCATCCCCGAAACCTACCGAGCCCTCCTAATCTTCTAGTGAACCCAACCCCTCCAAACCTACCGAACCGAACCCTCCCAAACCCTTCTGCTTAAGCCCACATAGATCCCAAGCTCCACCTAAACCCTCCTGCCCAAGCCCACCTACAGAACCCTCCTGTACCCTTCTGCTTAAGAACAACAAAAGATTGAACTTCATCCAACCCTTCGGAACGCAAGCAAACCACCCCAAACCCCTTCTAAGTTGGTCAAGGCCACCTAGACCCCAAGCCAACCCCCATACCCCCAGGGTCCTCAAAAACCCTTCTAAGTTAGTCAAACCCACACACCCAAGCCCACCACCAAACCTCTCCAAGCCAACCAAACCTCTGGGACCCCCCAAAGCAATTGAAAGTAAGTCAAACCCACACAGACCCTACGCCAACCCAAGCCCCCAATCTACCGAACCAATGCCAAGGGGGTCACGGGTAACATATTGAACAAGCCATGCACGAATGGTCGGGGCAATTAAAGGGGCCACCACATTATCATATTCAGATTCCCTCCGTTACCGTTCCTCTGAAGTCTTAACAAGTCTTCGCAAGTGCGGGCTGCAGGCTTCCATTGCACCCTGTTTGTGCAGATTCGGATGGGCATTTCGCAGACGCTTAATGACAACCAGCCCCAATTCAACAAACCAACAAACGAGGAACGCGGCGCATCGCCCTCGTAGAACAAGACCTGGCCGCTCGCGTCTCTTACATTCTGCCGCGGCACTACGACAGAAGATCGGACAGAATGCGCAAATTCTGGGGGCAAGGCCGTGCCAGCCTCAGCCCTTCCGAAGGACAATAGCGATGGCAAACGCTCCTGAATTTTCGCCTGGAAACAACGCAGCAATTGTTAGAACTCATACGTACTGAAGCCGCATCGCGTCGGAAAGGCTTTTCTCATCTTTGTTCTGCTTCGATGCCAGCCAAACCGAAGGATTGCAGTCCTCCAAGTTACGAAAAAAACTGAACTCCTGCAGCAGTGAATGCCTGAGCTGTTCCACAATATCACCAGTTGCGGAGCTGGGAGGAGACCCCACGCAGGCTGAGACAGGCAGCGTGTCCGCAGAAGCCGGGGTTTTCGCTCGAGGCTACACACACACAGAGAGACAGAGCTGCACGAACCAGACCCAGCCAAGCTGCAGCTGAGACTTGATTTGCCTCGAATATGGATGCGCAGGAGCAGCAGCAAGGATTTCTGAGACCTGCAATGATTGCCAAGCCGCCCGTCCGCACTCAGCGCCCAGCTTTCCATGGCAGGGCGGTTCCGAAGGAGTTTGGGCTCGGCTTGTCCAATTCCCTGCGTTGTTCTTTTGCTGCTGCGTGCCAGACTCCATCTGCGATAAATCCTTTTGGTTTTGCAACAGCTGTCCACACCCAAAGCCGCCCACGCAGCCGCAAGCTAAAACATGTTACATTTTGTCTTTACTGAGTTACATTCTCTCGCTGGCTCGGGATGTTCCCGTCATCAGCGCCCGCTGTCAGGAAGTGTTGAAACAGCACCGCGGCATACCGCGGCAGCCTCAGAGCCTCAGAGGCCCACAGTACAGCACTCTCCTTGCATGCCCCTTTGCTCCATGCCGTTCGCGATGTCAGTTCGAGAAAGTGCAGTTGCTCGACAAGCTCGTCGCTGTCCTGCATCGAGCCAGCCTTTGGGCCCAATGGCAACCTCACAGGCGATGACCCCAAGAGCTCAAGGTGAAAAAGAATCCTCTCAGCCCAGCCTCGGGCAAAGACGCTTTCGTGCTCAAACGTCAGGGGCCGTCGTAGTCTCCCGGGTAGCACTCGGGGGCCGGCCTCGCTTTCTCGGCTTTCGAGACTTCTGCTCTGCTGGGTTTCTGCAAACGGAAGGGCAGGTCAGGCTTGTTCGGCTTGTTCTGCTGACTGTCAGCCGTTGTAACTCAGGCATGACTTGCAACCTACTTCTCTAGACTTCTTTGCTGGGGGTCGAAGTCGTGACACAATGAATGTCCGATAGACCCTTCACCTGTGCTCGACGGTGTTGGAGAACTAAAGCGCTCCTAAATTAAAGATCTATGTCGTGAACCGGTAGGCTGATCAGCTTCTCAGTCTGTCCAAACACCCGACGCTCTGAAAATACTGCACTTCTTACTGTCAAGAGCCATCGTGGTCCTGTTCTTTTTAAAGGAAACTACAGGTTGGGAGTTTAGGGTATGGGCTTCTATAAGGCTTCTATAAGGTATATAGACCTTCTATAAGGCTGCTATAACGGTAACTACCCACCTGAAAACGTCCTAGACTCCTCATGGTCGCCGCAATCACCGCCATAAGCATCATCATCATTAGCGTCGTCGTCGTCGTGGTTACAGCATCATCATCATCATCAGCAGCCGCAGCCGTGCAGCAGTATCTACCTCGTCAGGGTGCCATGACGCAGGGACTCTCACAACATGGTAAGCCCATGGCGCATCACACGGAGGTGATGACCCGCCACTGGGAAAAGGCCTCATTTGATAGCCCACTTCAAGGTGTGCCTTTGACGCAAAGCGGCGCATCACCTGTGAATACGACGATACGTCGACATGTACGATATCACCACTACCGCTGCAAGTCAGATTCCAGCCCAGTCAGCCCAGCAACGTCAGAAAATCATCCACATCCCAGTCGCCAGATTCCTCCACACACGGAAAAGCCCAAGCATGCATCTGACTGTTCCCGTCGAACGACCCTCCCCGGTCTAGTGCCCTGACCTGGTACCCGTCCATGTCTCCAAAGTCGGTGCTTTCGCCGAGGATGTACTCATCCATCATGGCATCCATACCCCACACATGTTCCTCGGCATCTCGATGCCAGGACGGCATATTCCGGAGCATGGAATGCTGCCACGGCACGTAATATGCCTGCCAGGACTGAAACTTGCCCATGAAGTCGTCCACCTTCGGAATTTCAACTGGCATGATCCCTCATGCGCATCACTAACCTGAAGCACTGAAGCCCATGAGACCACGAATGCACAATGAGAAAACTAGCATGCATCCCGCAAATGTGCCCACCCTCTGGAAGACAGAATGACTCAAGCATCTCGGTGGTGGCAGTCTACTGACATTCTAGCAACCCCAGAAGCCGCCGTGGCCATGGTCTGGATGTCGGAATCCTCCGCCTCCTCACTCTTAGGGCTGAAGCAGACCATGCTGCCTGATGCACCAGGGAACCGTTCCGTCTATACTCCCAGTTCCCAAGTCAACACACAGGGACACGGGCACATTGCACCACGGCTGCACAACAGGTTGGTCACGAGGCCTTACAAATGGGACAGTGGGACTGGCATGATACACTGATACACGCCTGGCTCAACTTGAAAGCACCGGCCACGCTCGCGCAGCAACCAAGAAGAGAGCGCATGATCTACCTGAGCAAGTCCAGAACCGCAACAAAAATGGGGGGGTNNCCCCCAAAAAAAAAAAAAAAAGGGGCACTGGACTCGGCATCACTAACAGAAGATCAGCGAGAACTGGAACTCACAGTGCCAGGATGTGCCAGGCCTGGCCCCCGATGGGAAAGGCATGGGCCAAGAGCGCCTGACACAGAAAAACTCGGTCCCCAGGCGGCTTTTTTCAATACTGTGCAATACGAACCCACGCTCCGATAGGGCCATGTGGCATCTTCATCTTCTTTATGCAAGTGTGGCTTGACCTACGGCCTTCTAGACTGTCGCAGCCAGTCTACACAGTTAGTATGAAGTGTTTTCTATCGGTTCCATACTATTCCACATTCAGATTTACCTCTAACTGCTACAAGGCACTAGTCACTACATGTTGGTACATGTTGCTGCGTCCTCTTCCGCTTCATTATCCGGGTTCACACGCGCTTGCACTATGATCGGAATGTGACCTTTCATCCTGTCAGTTCTGAGTCATTGAGCGCACTGGAGCCTAGCTCGGTTGCACTTCAGCACATGTGATTCCATGCTCCATTTCGAAGGGAGACTGGGTTGAAAGATGTGTGCGATCAGCAGGAAGCATCATAAAATACGCCGTGGTGGAAAGCAAATACACCTCCATAGATTCTGGGACGTAGACTAGGACAGGCTCCTAAGTTGCATATGGATTTACAGCAGACCTCCGGACAAGTGTTTTTGAAACAGTGCTATCCTGCGGAAGTGCTGAAGGCAATGCTCCACATCAGCCAGCAACACTCACAACGTATCTGACTGAAGAAGCAGCAGGCTGGCATATGACTCACACCTATGGACCTATACAGTCAGACACCACAGTCAGCCTAGCTCGACATGTGAGTGCCGAGCATTTGCTGCTGCGAATTGAACCAGAATGTGTGTGTGTGTGTGTAAAGTGCATTTACCCGTATGAGGAAACACAGATATGTCACGCGATGAATCCTTGCATAGTTGCAAACTACAAGTGAGCTGCGTTGTAGCCTCGGCCGCTTCACGCCGCACCACCCAGGCGAACAAGCCGAAGCACGGCTCACGCAGAAGCCGCACGGGCACCTCTTCAGAGCTTCAGGGCGCAACAAGATAATATATCACTTTTGCATGTGCGACGGTGACATGCCTCAGTCACAGACGCCATCAAAAAGTGCAACAGCATCTGCTGAAAAACAACCATCTGAAGTTTGAGGGTGTGTGCATGGGTGCATGCGCACTTGGATACATACATGCACGCACAGCTTCGTGAAAAAATGTCTCTGCAAATATGTTGAAGAATGTATGCAAACATTCATACATACATGCATGCATACATACGCCCCTTCCTACACACATGCGCACATGCATACATGCACGCAGGCATACAGGCATACCTGCGTGAATGCATACACACAAACACATTCTGCACACATGCTTACCTGCTTGAGCGCACGCATGCATGTATACAAACATACATGCATATGGGTACAGAGAACAACAAGCAAGCAAACACATAACAAACAAAACAAACAAACAAACATACATACATACACACATACACACATACATACATACATACATACATACATGCATACATACATAAATACCCACCATGCACTGCTCTTTCCCTGCTTTCTCGCGTTGATCTCGTACCCGTGCTTGTAGTGACCATAGTTGTTGCTTGCGGAAAGCGAACTGATCATCACAACACTGCTCCAGCTTCTCATTCACATGCTTGAGCGTTATCTTCATGGCCCATGGCATTCATATGCTCTGTGATGTCATTCACCTTGCTGTCGAGTGCTGATACTGATACTGAATGATTGAAGCGTCATGTTGACATGCCAGCTGCAACAACTCATCCTATGTTTGTGCAAGGAAAAGCAAGTCCCAACTCCTCGCACGCAAAACAAACACATACTCCAACAAACCAAGGAACTGCATTAGCCCATGCTTGCGCAACCTCTTCTTGCAGAAGGCCCTCTGCATGTAGCAAAATGGGGGAACACAGAAATAAGTTTGTGGCTTCAGCAACGGTCACCGGAGGCAAACATGCAACGTAACCGCCATCCCCAACATCACAAACTATCTGCGAGGGTTGCACATCACTCAACTGATTTTTCACCGGGGCTGCGTCTTGCAAGCAATCGCTCGCACCGCACATCCATGTGCAGGAATTTTGTGAAATCCACACACTGTCACAAGCGACAAGTGCCCTGCAAGGCACATGAATGGTTGGCATACAAAACCGTGATTCTACTATTGTCGTGTTGGTCGAATGTGTGGCCACATGTGTTAGAGTCCCAATTACCAACCCAACCGCCACTCACACACAATGTCCACGATCATCCGATTGAAGCTGTTGGACGGGAGACCATTCCATGCGTAGGCTGCTAGCCGCAAGCTTGACAGTCACGAGGCATTCAACACCAAGTCATGTGACTCTGCCGGCAAAACCCCAAACGACCGACAATGTGGACATGCGGCACGATTGTGCTATCTAAGGTGCACGGCACAACTCATATGCAATCTCAAACGAAAAACGCAGGGCCATGTCCACATGATGTCTTCGCCTGGGACAACATCACAGCAACAGATGGGACAGCAGAGTCCGTCGGAAGGCAATGATTGGGCAGAAATGCACTCATGCTACCCGAGCAATGGTTGCGGTGTGTGGTGGGCTGTCACCAAACCTGCTATCGCGTATCACTGGCGAAGGCCAGCCTGTCGGCTTACAGTGTTCTGCGTTGTGGTGTTCTGGTCCGAGTTGAGCTGCCCGCCATTGGTGTGTGGCAGATTTCGCGAGGCATCCGACAGCAGCTGAGAATGTCCTACATTTAGAGTGTCGTAAAAGCCGCAGTGATGCACGT